AGCCCACACCCAAGTGCCCACAGCAGCTCTGCCTGGAAAAACCAACCCCTGGGGCCGCCCAGACGGCCTTCAGGGGGTGGAGTTTTCAACGAGAAGCAGCCACACTACTAGTTATTAGAGGATCACAATCTCCAATGAAAAACGTGACCGGGCTGCACTGTGTGGACACTGCACACTCTCTGAAGTGCACGTGGAACATTTCCTAAAATTAGTTCAATACTGAGTGAAACCAAGTCTCGGGAAATACCAAAGGAGCGAAACCGCTCGACACGAAGTTACACCAGACAGCGGGAACAAAGAGGACAGCGCCGGGCGACGCCTCGGCCGCCCGCGCTGACGCGTGTGGCCTGCTCCTGGGGGCGCACGGCTAGGGAGAGCCGCCCGCGGGACTCACCGGCTCAGGTCCGTCCCCGGCGCGTACTGGGAGAAGCGGGAGTGCAGCAGAGGGATCAGTCTGAGGTCGCACCATCGCTTTTCCCACCTCAGCCCGGGGCACGCGGGCCACGAGGAGCAGGATAACGTGTCCTGAAAAGGAAAGGAGCCTTCAGTGCCGTGGGCTCCACGTCACAAGCCCTCCTCATCTGAGGGACGCCTATCCCTAAACCATCACAAGACGCGGATAAAATACCACAAGACGTTCATGTTCACTGACAGTGAAGTTACTTGTGTTAATTTCTCTATCCACGGAATTCTGTGAGAAAGTGAGGAGGGACACACTGAGCTCAAGAACCAAACTGAAAACACGAAAAAATGGGGTGAGGAGGAGGAAGAAAAAAATAAAACCGTGACAACTGAATTCACTCAAGGATGGAAAGGTGGGGCGAAACTAACTGCAAAGAACTAGCTGGTGACAAAAGTCAAATAATCATAGTCCATTCAGTTAAGCAAATGGTTCCTATCTGCTCAGCATTAAACGTTGTTAGAAGGCCTTGTGATCCATCAGTTACTTAGAGAGATTTTTGAGTAGAATGAGCATTCCCCTAAAACAGCTCCCCAGCTCAACTCAAGGAAACCTCTGTCCACTGTTTAACCCTCATGTTCACACGTTTGTATTTCCTTATGTTGTTTTCTACAGGTTTAAGATTACATGTATTTTAGGTGTCATTAAAAGTGTGGGTATTTTCTCCTTATGCGTAGAGAAGACATGTATTTGAATAAAATCTGAGCTTTTCACTTGATGTGAATCTACCCTTCTTTCACGATCCCAGCTTCATTGCTAAACTTGCTCACGAGTGGCACACAGGGAAGGACGCCGACACGGCGCAGGAGCTGTGAGAGCCAGGCTCCGTCTGGCCTGGGGCCCCGGCGCCGGCTCCCCTGCTGCCAGACCCCACCGTGCCCGAGTCCTGAGGCTGGAGGAGACCCTGCTCTAGTGCAGGTGCTGAAGCCCTGTGAGCGTAACATTTTTAGCCTCTTTCAGGTATTAATTTCTTCAAAATTGCTTAGGGGAAAAACTGTTACATATTTTTTGCTAAAGGTGGAGTGTTCTTTATGGTAACTGTCAACCACAGTGCCCGTGAGGGTTGGCCAAGTCCTCAGCCACGTCCCACAGCCAGAGGGAGGCCTGACTCCGATGGTGGTGAGGGGCCGTGGCTGGTCCCCAGGACGCCCCCCCCACCGTGTAAGACATGCTCGTGGGGCCGCCCCAGGGGCCAGACCAGGGGCCACAGGAGCTGTCCTCCTCTCCCCCGGCCTTCACGTCACATGACGTGACACAGGCGGTGGTGACAGCTCAGCAGGGCTGTCAGGGCTCAGGCTCCCGAGCAGAGTGAGACCCCCGGGTGCAGAAAGGCCACTCCCCCAGCCCACGAGTCCCAGGCAGGGTCCTGCGATGCCCCGGCCTCCCCGCACCTGTCCCAGAGACAGGCCGTCACGGGCCCCTCTCACAGAAGGGAAGTGAGGCGCTTCCGAGCGCTCAGCCCCTGCGCCCCTGTCTTTTCTGCAGGAGGGCACCTGGAGAAACAGCGACCCTGTGTGACCCACGAGGGCAAACCGACGAGGCCCCAGGGCCAGAACCGACCAAGTCGCCCCATCACTAAGGCCGGAGCGGCCCCCTCTGCCCCTCGCGGGCCCTGGAGTGCTGCAGGGCCCAGGGCGTGTCTAGCCGTTTCCCCACCAGGAAAGCAGCCGCTAAGTTACTCAGATCCCCGTCTTCTGAAGATCCGCATTGTAAACAGCCTCCCTCGTGGGACGATTTCTCTGGTAACAAAGTAAAAGAGGCAGCCAGATGAAGTGCCCCCAGTGTGGCGGGTCTACACCTGCACAGATGACCCTCGGTGGTGCCCAGGGTTCCCCTGCAGGAGCTAAACCAACCAAACGGGAGAGACGTGGGGCCCGGAGGCCTTCAGCCGCGATGGGTGCTGGTGCGGTTCAGCACGATGGCTCCACGAGGGCCTGGAGGTGCCCAAGAGGAGGGCTTGGAAGAAAAATGCCACAGCGAGGGCAAGGATTCCCAGTGGAGAGTGAACTGTCCATGTCAGAAGAAAAAGCTACGTGTCTCACACAGCCTAACACGTGGAACAGTAAACAAAAATTCCGCATAAAGTGAGCACAGGGGATGCTGTGAGCCTCACGTTTAACCAGGCAGAATCGTTTGTCTTCAGAACGTGGGAATGTTCTGAAGAGTGAGATACAAGGAGTTTCAAAAATCTATTATGAAAGAAAAAAGAAAAACCTGCTTACTCCCAAATACAGGTGGAAAATCAAAATGGACACTTTATTAAATGGATATAAAACAAACAAGTCAATTTTATCAATTATTAAATACATGCATAGTTTAACGTTCCTCACATCTCATGTAATGTGTAGGTTAGGTCTCCCCACTTTGCATTAATTCCCTGGTGTGCATGAAGGGTGCTAAGAAATCCTAATGTGTGGCAAATTACATAGCTACTTATAGCAAAATAATTTCAAAAGAAAAATGATGAAAGTTATGTCAAATGACATAGAACATGCAACCACATATAATATGCAATGTTATTAGGTGACTATATGATGTGACACGTGGTGTCCCAAAGGTAAGTTTCTGTAGCTCACAGAGGGCTTCATACAGACCTGAGAAGAGAAAAGTGACATCAAAAAAGTAACCGACCTACTCGTGTTTTTCCTCCCTGGATTATCGTGATCCTTAAATCATGAAGCAACCACGGATTTCAAACATATCAGAGAAACTGGACTTCACAGCAGTTTTTGCGCACTGACGCTACACGTATTCTCCCTAGACCTTCCCCAAGCTCCCTCCTTATTAACGGGGTCTGCGCCTTGGCCATCTTACTGTGTTGTTGGGGTGGTAGTTGAGGTGCAAACCGCTGTCACAAAGAGGTGAGGACGTGCCGCTGCTCTGGTCGCTGGGAGCACCTGCAGGAGACAGAGTCACAGAGGCACCACTGGTTAGAACGCCTGCCTGTGCCAGACTCACACCGTCTACACTGTCTGCTTCATACACTCAATGGCCAGGGAGTCATGTATGTCACTTACACCAAAAAAAAACATTAAAACCTAAAGCGGGCCCCTGCAGGAGACCCGCAAGTAGTTACCTTTGACCCCCGAGATATTAAGGCTTCATTAAGGGAAACGAAGCCGAATAAAAGCACTATTTCACCTCATTATCGAGCAGGGCCCGCCCTTACGAGCCGTCCATTCAGCAGTGCAGGGTTTTGTCTACAAAGTTCTATTTAATGCCATGGATTAATCTACCAGCAAATTCCATATTTAGGTCCTGAACTTTTCCATCATGCAAAAAATGTTTGTGGAAAAAAAAGCCTGTGAGACTTCTGTCCTTCTAAGGGCTCTTGGCACACACTGTAACGGGAAGTGTCTCATTGACATGATTTAATTTTGTGAATCTGCGGTTAAGACACTTCATATTAGATCCTCATGAGAAACCTGCCAATGTCTATGTTTTAAAAATAAGTAAATATATATCCTAAAGATTTGTGACTTTCTAAGATATTTAGAGTTTAGTAATTGCTACAGTCAGGATTAGAGTGCATATTTCTTGATTTCTGATTCATTGCATTTTTTGAAAACATTTTATTTTTTGGAATTGCTAATGTGGATAAACATGAGCTATTAATGAATCTCACTCCCAACTTTTATTTGACGTATTATACTTACATGCAAACGTCATTAAAGGGCAGACTCCTAACACAGTGACCCACGTGCTCAAGAACAGTGACCTTGCTCTCCTCCTTTATGACTCTTAAACTTAGTTTGCCTGGTGCTGAGAAGGGAAACGGGCATTCTTGCTTTACCAGCATGGATATAGTTTTTATGTTTTTTAAATCTTAAGAATTTCAGTTTGTTTTAGATATTTTTCTTTTGATGTTTATCTGCATTTCTCTCTTATGAGATATTTTTAATGCAACCACATGTTACTTTAAAATGTATTTTGAACTGAATAAAACAAAAACGTAGCATATCAAATTCTGTAATGCATCTACAGTAGTTCTTTGAATGAAATTTAAAAACTTAAATATATGCACAAAAAGAAGGTATGTGTAAACTCAGTGATCTGTGCTTGGATCTTAAGATGTTAGAAATGGAAGCCAAACTGACACAAGGTAAATAGAAAACAGAACATAATAAAAATACAAGTGAAAAGCAATGAAATAGGCCACTGAAAATAATAGACAAAATTAACCATGACAAAAATGGGTTCTTTGAAACAATTAATAAAACCTATAGCAAAAATGACACAGTAAAAGAGAGAAAACACAGGTTACTAGTATCAGCAGTGAAGGCAGAGGTGTCACTGCAAATCAGCAGATAGTCAAAGGGTAACAGAAAGATGTGACTGACTTCATGCAAAGACACTGACAACTTAGTTGAAATGAACAAAAACATTGAAAAAAACCTTATCAAAATTTACAAAAAAGAAAAGAGAATATCAAAAAAGTCCTATATTCACTCGACAGATTAATTCATATGAACAAAAATGATGCTTCTAGGATTGGACTGTGTCTCTGGTGAACTTATCCAGTCATTTAAGGAAGAGATACTCTCACTGTTAAACAGCTTCTTTCTGGAAATAGAGGCGGAGTCACCTCTTCACAACTTAACGTGAAGATGTAGTAACCCTGGCACCCAATTCCCACCACAGCATTCAGGGAAAGACAGGCACGTCTGGTTGTCTTTCATGACCATAGACTTTTTTTTAAAATTAAAAATACATTAGCAAATTAGAAGCTGTGATATATTTTTAAAAACCATAATGCTTCATGACTGTGGTGTTTATCCTAGGAATGCAAGCTGGATTTGGCATTCAAAATCCATTTTTAAAAGGGCACCATATCAACAGAGTGAAAAAAGAAAAAATGCAATACCTCAATGGATAAAAAAACACTGAGGGAATTCCACTTTAACTTCTATTTTGAAAAAGAAAAAGTAAAGTCCTCAGGAACCTGGGAACAGAAGGGCACCTTCTATTCTAATAAAGTGTATCTGTGAACACCAACAGCTGGTGCCACATTTAATGGTAAAAGCCTAGAAGTTCCCTCCACTATCCTGAGAATGAGAAGGACACCTGCTGTCAATACTTCATTCAGCATCTCACTGGAGGTCCCAGCCATGACAACAGGCAAAACCAAGGAAAAAAAAAAATTAAAGAAATATAGGTTGGAAAGAAATTAGCAAAATTTATTATTTGCAGATGACATAATTTTATATATAGAAAAATTTAAAGAAAGTAAAAAATCTTACTAGAATTAATATGAAAATTAAGCTACGTTGCAGAATGCCAGAGTATATAAATGCATTTCTATGTGTTAGCAGCAGATAATTAGAAAATTAAATCTTTAAAATATTATTTACAATAAATTGAAAAACATAAAATGATGAAAATAAATTTAATGAGAGATATGTAGTATTCTACCATTGAAAACATTAAAATATTGTTGAGAAAAATTAACACATAACTAAATGGAAAGTGATATTATGTTTGTGGATTAAAAGATTTAAAGTTGTCAAGGAGTTAATTCTCTAAATTGCCTATCAAGTCAGTTTAGTCCTATTCAAAATCATGATAGTATTCTTATAATAGAAATTCTGACATGCTGTTTACAAAATGTGTGAGTAATGCAAAGGATCTAGAAAAACCAAACAAGCTTGAAATATTGGAAAGCCGACCAGCCTACCCTGGGTGAGCACTGGAAGTATTATACAGCACAACAATCAATAGTGTGGTTTAGGTGAACGGAGAGAGACACAAGTTCACGGAAATAAGACGGTGATTCCTTCATTCCTGACTCCTACCTCAGAACCAAAAAGCAGTAAGCACACACAACAAAAACAACAACAACAAAATGGTAATTTAGACTTTTTCAAAATTAGAAAGTTCTGCAAGTTGGAGACTCCTTTAGGGAAAGCAGACAGCCATACACAGATTGAGCGACACGTCTGTAACACGTGTAGCTAACGAGAGACTTAGAAACAGGCTTGTACGCTCCTGCACTGTGACAATATAAAAACATCCCAATTAAAAACTGGGCCAAAGACTTGACCAGACACATTACAGAATAAGATATGCAAACAGACAGTAAAGATGCTGAAATGGTACATTGGGAGGTAATCATCATTAGTCTTTGGGGAAACGCAAATCAAAACTGCAATCTGATACCACAACACGCTCAAGGGAACAGTTAAAAAAAAAACTCTGACCATCAAGTATCGGAATAAGCGTGGAGCAGGCAGAGCCGCCAGCCATGCTGGAGCGGACAGCGTTTGGCATACGTTCACATACACGCCCATTTTAGAAAGAGGTTTGGCAGTTTGTTAGCAAGTTAATTGTACATCTATCCTGTTCAATTCCACTCCTATAGCACTTAATAGTAGTGACATAAAATATTAAGACTTCCAAAATCCTTGCACGAGAATGTTTATAGCAGATTTATTTATAACAGCAGAAGACTGGACGCATCCTGTTGCCTGTGGACAGGAGGCTGTGTTATCACACTCCACTCGTATTGCACAGCGATGTAAACCACTGAATATGCAACACAAGGGACTGTTCACAGTGAAAGAAGCCAGACAGAAAGGAATAAGTACAGTCTGCTTGCATTACATAAAGTTCTAGGAGAAGCAAAAATAACACATGATGATAAGAAATTAAGTCAATGGACGCTTCTGGAAAGTTATTCACTGGAAGAGGCACAGCGGAGCTGTTCTGTGATCTAAAGGACTAAGCAAATGTGTGCCTTTGTCAGAACTGATCCAACCGTGCATTTAAGGTCTCTGCATTTCATTGCATGTAAACTGTGCCTCAGTTAGAAACACACTCTTCTCTGATAGCAAAAAGTATCAGATAATATGCATTTCATTTCACAATATGCAAGAAGATACAGAAATCTTTGAGTGGCGCTTATGGAAACTGTTACACTTCCACATAGACTGGTGCTTCCTTCAATCCCCGCATTCTCATCAGGACAAATTAAGTGTAAATGTTTATTTATTCAGTTCAGTAGCCAAATCAGAGTATATTCTTTTCTACTTAGAGAATACACATTCATCAAATATTATGAATGAAATTTAATAGAGATACAAAATGCATATATTTGACATGATATTTATTTTTAAGATAAAAACACTTCCCCACTTATAGGCTGGAAAACAACTAAACGTGAATACATTCTGAAACAAAAAGCAACATCTGTTCCCTTTGCAGAAGGGCTAATAGAATGCTTTGCAATATTTTCCTTTTAAAGTTTGTATTCAGGCAAAAATCCCAGCTTTAAAAAGGAATTACTAACTGCTGTCATGAAATAATGGTCTAGGAGGTAAATATGACAATGAGAGCATTTCACCTGCTCTTCACAAATGCTTACACGCACAGTCTTCGTTCAGTGGGAGCTTGAGGAAAGCAGGTGCTCTTTTCAGAAATGAGACCGTTAGGGTCACTTCTTCTCCAGCATTTCGAAGAACTTGAACCTAATGCAAAAATAATCATCATCATCATCATCATCATCATCATCATCATCATCATCTCATTATCAGTATGCCTGCCAAAAATTTGTATATTATTGAAAATCCTTGAAATAACTGGTTGTTTTTTCCACCTCTCACAGTTTTTCCTAGTGGTCAAAGCTCTTCGTGGAAGACAGAGGGGACAGGCTCTCTCATGCTGCAGGAACCAGCCCGCCACTGCCCTCTTCCCACCACCGTAGTCCCTGTTCACTCACAACGTCGTCATCGTCCACGCACGTGCACTGAGCCTCTCTTGAGGCTCTATGGTCTGTGTTCAGTCTACAGAAAGATGCACTGCTCAAACCACTGCATTTACTGATTTAATAAATATTTATTGAGTATCCGTGATGTATTGTTTGGAGACGTACAAATGAATGGTCCCGTAGCTGTCGACCAGGGTGCTAATTCTAATTAATTAAATCATTCCAACTCACTCAAACCGTTTTGCAAACAATAAACAGATGTTATTTCCCCATGACACCATGGCTTATTTTCTTTTCCTTTCCCTGAAAGTTTAGAGCAATGAGGGAGACCCTTATTATCAGAGTCGCAAAACTTTCCAAATTATGGAATTACTGGGTCTATTTCTTCCAGTTAAAAGATGCTAGTTTCTCAAAATATTACACCAAGACCAATGCAAGCAATACTAAAAGGTCAAGGAGCTGAGGGTCACTTGCAGCAAACATAGCTGGAGAAGATCTAAGCATAGCCATAATTATCTCACAAACTAAGAGGAGAGTTAAGAACACAGCGAAGCAGGTAACAATCACATGAGCGTAATTTGTCATTAAACACAGAAAAAGGGTTCGTCATTAGGTCGTTCAAGAATTGACTGTCAAAATGACTGAGAGTGACTTCTGGTCCCTGCGAGATGTGGTAAAGTTCTCTCACCCAGTAAGTGCAACTAGCAAACACCGAGGAAAGCGCGAGACGACGGCGGTGCGACTCCGAAAGGCAGACGGGAGAAGCGGAGCTGACTGGGAAGCCCGGGGCCTCCCCAGGGAGGGCCGGCCGCCCCCTGTGGGACAGGCAGCCCCCACCACGCCGCGGTGCGGGGCCGGACCTGCGAGAGGCCCTCCACTCCTCAGAAGCACCCGCAGGGGGAGTGGGGGCCCGATGACACACAGTGAATCACCTGCACCAAGCCAGCCCCACAAGGGCGCGAAACAGTGTGCTGTCAAAGGGACCAGAGCCCACGGAGTCAGGCGAGGTGCGGTGGCAACACTGCGCGCCCACAGCAGCCTGCAAGAAGCAATGCACGTATTTACTCTGAATCCACAACATCAACACCACAGCGACACGAGTGTCTAGTTTGTAAACAGTGCACCCAATTTAAGGAGAATCGTTGAAGGAAAGGAGAGAGATCATGTTTCCTTATTTTTGCAGAATTCTGTGTCAGATCATCTTATACAAAACGAACTGCCAATGTCTGAAAAACAAAGCGGGGTGTGGCGACACCACATGGGATGTGCAACCTCAGACACAGTTGTAAGTGTGTGTGTTTGTGCATTTTATCCCAACCTGTGGGCACAACACAGAACTAAGAAGTCACTATCTGAACTGCCTGTACCCTTTCCTTCCACACTCTGTCATCTCATCCTATCATGGAAGTCACTTAAATGTGTTATTTTGACTTTTAAGTGCTGTCCCCCTGGGGTGCACGCTGAGCACAACATGAACACCCTGAGACACAGGCACCATGGCCCGGCCACCAGGGCAGGTTCCGCCAGCGTCTCCTCCGAGCCCGAAGTCCGTACAGGAGAAGCGCGGCTGTCCGGCCCCGGGGAGCAGTGGCTCCTCTGCAAGCCCGGTCATTTCAGATACTCGAGAGCAGAGCCGTGTGTCTCAAATGTTATGCGTTAGATGACCGAGGAGAAAACAATATGCCTTATATGTTGCTAAATACCTGAAGGAAAATACATTCACTTTGCTACTTCCAATCTCAGTCTTCAGAGGAATTTATCACACACAAAACTGGTGGAGACCTGACAGTTATAAAAGCCATTCAGGTATTTAATGAACTGGGCAGAATGCATGACTTTATGAGACGCAGGCACTTTATCTGGAAACCGAGTGTGTCCTCATCTTATTTGCATGGAAATTACTGAGAATACAGAAGGATGGCCCTTAGCAAATTATCAACTTATTGCCTTTTGATTTTGTTTTCTCAGATGTCTCTCAAGTCTCCTTCTCTACTTGGAAGAGTCCCAAAGGACATCCTGCTACCTGGTCCCCAAATGACAAAAGCAAAAACCAAAAAGACTCTTTGGGGAACCCTCCTGTTCCCTCCTTCAGACCTCCTCATTCCAGGCCTCTGAAAACCACGTGAGCCTTCGTCTCAATCCACAGACACTTTAAGGGAAGAGTAAACAGATCATGACAATGTGTTAAACACAGTGGGTGCCAGGACATCAACCCCTCTGGTCCAAAGCCGCCTCGTGTCAGAGGCCGCCTGGAATCTTACGGATCTGGCGTGGCCCCAGGGCAGTGGCTGGGTACCAGGGAACTCAAGCTCTGTCTCTTTCAATGAGTCAAAGACAACGAATGCCCATTTCTGAAGCCTACAGGCTGGTCACTTGAGATATGAAGCTGAGTTGGTTTATGCTCAGTCAGAGATTTTAGAAGAATGAGCGTCCATGGAGGGTAGGTGAACTCCCATGTGGTGTTTCAAATGAAGCCGCCCTGGAGAAATCCACTGGCTGTAATTCTCACCAGCGTTTATATTGAAAAACAGAAGGAGGGGAGGGGAGATAAATTAGGGATTTGGGATTAGCACACACTACTATACATAAAATAGTAAACAACAAGGACCTACTGTGCAGCACAGGGAACTGTATTCCATATCTTGTAATAACTTATAATGGAAAAGAATCCAAAAAATTAAAAAATATATATATATATAAAACATACTTTGCTGTACCCCTGAGACACTGTAAATTGACTATACTTCCATTTTTACAAAAAGCAGGTGTAAGTAGGTGGGAGGAAGAGATGCGGGGCTCCCTGCCAGAGCCTGATGTGGTGGAAACGCCTTCACCCTCTCTCCACCTGCTGTCGTCACACCTGCCATCCTGAGCGTGGGGTCCATGTCTGCAGTCATGAGAGAAGAAAGGATGCACTTACTCCCTGTCTCCTGTCCCTCTGTCCCCATAGCAACCTGGGCAGCAGCTCCCAGCTCAGCTCGGGGAGCCAAAAAAGACTGATGGGGCCCCAACTGCCAGATCACTGGTGGGGAGCCGTCCCCTCAGCACTGCTGACCACTCCTGTCTGGGCCTCATAAGCTGGAGGCTCTGTCAGTGCGTCTGCGCCACCTGGGTCGCGGCTGAAGCTCCAGGACCAGCACTGTTTCTGTTTCTGGCTGGGCGGACCCTGGGACCTTCATCCCTGGGCAGAAACTACACCATCAACTGGGAGCAACAGCGAGTGCCTCGTGAAGAACGCCATGAGGCACAACCCAGCACGTCTCCTCTTTGACGTTGCTCGGCCAAGAGGCTCAAAAGGAACTCTTAGACATTTCCCCAACTCGTCATCCGGCTCTTTCTGGGGCAACTGGGAGACACAGAGCTTCCTCCCGACTGCCGATGAGAACTCACCTCAGAGAGACATGAGGAGTTCTCTCACCCAGTCCAGAGTGACACAGAGGAGGCCACTTCATGTGCCGTCCCAGAGGTGGTAACACGGGGGGACAGCAGAGGCTCTGAATTTCATTTGATGTGGTCCAAGTTATTTGCTGCCCAGTGAGAAGCACAAACTTTACACTCCTTGAATATACAGACCGTAAGTGATTATAGGGACAAAGTATGAAAATCTCAAAATAAAGCACTATATATATATATATATATATTTAGTCTATCAATCACTAACTCTGTCTTAGATTGTGTTCAAACTACGGCAGCTCTGCTTTGCGGGGGCTATCCTCTCAAAAGACACACTCTGCGAAAAGAAAAGAGTTTCTAGTCTGATAATCTTCTCCGAGAGCTGTGATGTGTACATTGGATACTCAATACCTGTTTGTTAATAAAAATAATGCTAATCATGGTTTTGTGTCTCTCATAGTATTTAAGCTACATTAGCTTCAAGGTGTGTTCCCTCATTTCTACCACCTGTAATTCTTTCAATGAAATATTTTTTATTGTTAAATACAGGCTAATTTCGGTTGTGAAAATAAACAATTTTTAACCATTTTAAGGTTTTAATTATAATTGTATAGATTAGACTGGGCATCAAAGGTGACTTCTGTTAGGAATATAACACGCCTTTGACCAGACCTTCAGCATCGAGCCAGTGTGAGGGAAAGACCTGAGACATAAGTGCTTTCCGCAAGCTTTGCGTTGTTGCCATTTTCATGCCAAGGTGTGTCTCATCTAATTATTTTAGTGCTAACCAGCAGGTTGTTTCCGTTTATTTTCTCTGGATTTTTATGATGCTGTATGTCCCTTGCCCAAAAGCCTCTCCGGGTAAATAGTAAATAAATTCAAGTGAACCAAGCATTACACCTCCGACTGCTGCAGTGGACGCAGGCATATTTCTCTCCTGTGATTTTCAAGATATCTCACATCGTGGACTAAAAGTGGCCGAACCTCTCCCAAAGGCAGCTGCTTGCACCTGACCGTGGGCTGCCCAGAGTTAAATCTGCTCCTGCTGGAGAAGGACAAGCTGATGGCATCTGCCCGATCCCCTTGGGCCCCACAGTCAGGGCAAGGATAGCGTGGGGGCGAAGGCAGGGATGGGGGCATGGAGGGAGAGGCTTAACACGGGCTGGAAGGTCAGATGTGCGGTAGGAAGGGCTGAAACAACATGCAAGCATTTCATTTAAGATATTCGGCATGGAGTTCCAGCCTGAGGTGTTCTTTCCTCATTTAGACTAAGGCCTGATGATTTTATAGTCTCCATTCTTAGGAATTCACCTATTTTTATAAACTTTCCTCATCCAATTTAATCTCCTAATCAACAAAACATTTACT